AATTGCGCCATTGTTAGCAATAAGAAACTCCGTAAAAGTCCGCAATGAAACATATATAATATATCGTAAAAATATGCTAATTTCGCATAAATTAACTTAGGTACGAGCCTGGAAGAAGGAAAAATAATATTATATGCCTATGGTTGCAAAGCACGAATAATGCTCAGATAAATATATAACAATGTATACATTTCTATGAATTCAGGTGTCCACACAAAAAAGGAAAATGAAAATGGAAATAAGACCAGCCTACTGAACTTAAACCTTCAGCGATACAATACACAGCGCTTATTTCCCTTCTACGGAGCAGAAAATAATTGAACATTCTTACATCTTCTCCTATATGTTTCATTCTTAAGACATTATTAATCGCGCAATATTGCAACAACGTAAACGTGTATTCAGAAAGGACCTTTAACTATTTTCCACCTTTAGATTCCTCCCTATTTCGTTATTAATTCTAAAAATAGTTAGATTAAATAAGCCACATCTACTCTCTTTATAAGAACGTACAACCTCTCATAAATGAAATACAATTTCGGTGTGCCCTTCCTTCAGGTTATAATGAAATAGTTCGTCCTTATCATTACTTATACCCGTGCAGTTTGTAATAAACAAATGACACATTATGTTCTGTTACAATATGTGTATATGGATCATTAGAATAAGTTCGAAATGCAAAACTCTAAATGCGGAATTGCAAGCAAGGGTTCCAAAAGAAATTATCCGAAAATCGGTTACCCAAAATAATCACATGAACTAGGAACACTGTTGTAATATTTTCATTATGGCATGTAATGTGTTAGAAGAAAAAGTAACATCCGTATGTATGCGAAATAGAACCTTCAGCTATGGCAGAATTATTAGTATAAATCCATATTCACAATTTTCAGAGCTCAATTAAAGGAAAAAAATTGCATTTATTTTTTCCACGGAAATTGTTAATTTTTTTTTCTGCTACTTCTTCTTAAAAGTATAACACAAAAAAGAGATTCGTTTCTAAATGTATGGTCAGGAATGAATATCTCTTTTTTAGGAGAGAGAGAGGAGATGTGTATTTTCCTCCGCCAAATTAGGATTTTCTCATAGTAAATGCTATTCGTACGGCATCATATATCATTTTATGCAAACAGCAATGTTCTGCTCGAACATTCATTCCTATTTCTCATTCACAGCACCTCAGGGCATATGCTACGACATAAACACTTTTTGAACACATTGTCGCTCAGCTAATTCTGCTAATCCTAGCAAATCATACGCTAAAGGAAAGTTAACTCAAGTGGGTACTTATATAATATATACTCATTTTTACCCAGGTATGCGTACATAAATAACGCACTTAAAATTAGCGATATGTCATTCTAATCATAACAATGTTAATAATACGATGAAAATCTTTAATCCTGCATTGAGTGATACCCCTTCTATAAAGATAGCAACACACAGTTATACAAACACATTTTATCTAAATAGAATTAAAAATGCTAATAAAATACGAACAAAAAAGGAACGCCATCTAGTAGCCTTTTACATTTCTACAAAGCGCTATTCAGTACTGATCAATTTGAGCAAAAAATTGTTAAGTTTAGTTGAAAAGGCACTTGTCTTTCTTAATACATTTCGTATCTGTATCCCTGTATTCTTTAACATATACAAAATCGATTGACATTATGGAGGCACTAATCGGTTATCAGAGGGCAAATTAGCAGTACATCAAGAACCCACAGAAAAGTACAAGCCACTAAGAAAGAAACTACTAGAAATAGTGAATGAAAATGATGAAGATTCTGAAAAACGATTTAATACCCTGTTAGACAAGGGTGACATTTTACAGAATATATCCATCCTACAGATATTAAGTAAAAAAACTAAGAAATCTTTAACTTCACTGGATTTTGATAATTTTGATCGAACATCACTCAATTCTGTGGGATATGAAATCTTAGATGAAACATCAAAGGAATCATTGCTATTCGATATCAGTACGTATGGAAAATCAAAACAATCACTAGAATACGATATCAGTGATTAAGATAAATTAACAAGTTCAGTGAAGTTTTGTAGTAATGGCGAAAAGTCAGTAAATCTACAAAAGGTTTGCAGCTACTTTTGAAAAATTGTATTTATTTCAAATTTTTGATTTTTCTGAAAAATTACAGGAAGAGGACATACCAGAATATTAGTACAATTCATATTCTAGTACTACCAGCGGCATAACCCATCGTGTTAAGACTAAGTATGTCGAAGAAGGAGAAGGACAAGAAGTTCGTGATACCTCATGTTTCGACTTTGGTTATGACTTAGAATCAATTGGCACTTTTGATGGTTTTTTTAAAAGTAATCTCCCGAAATGCCATCATTCATTGAAATGTGATAAGCCGAGGGAAAAAGAACGCGAACCCCCTAAGAAAGAGTCATCTTCACATAAAGAATTTTATCATGTACTGTTAAAACCTGTTTTTAAGTAGACAATGAATTATATGAAAAAATTTGACAAGCTCTATGAAGAGTCCCCAATAAAGCTATTAACATGGAAAATTATTATGGATGAAATAGGTGTCAAATTACTTTCAAAAAAATTGAAGAATTACTTAATTGTTATTTATCTAGTTTCATCATACACTATCCACACACTCGTTGTTTATTCTTGCAAGCTTCATGAGTTTAATACTGCCTCCAGGGATGCAATGATTTTTTCCGTCCCAATATACGTGACCCATAAATATATCAAGTCCACGCATAACATTAGATCTAAAGAATCTTATAAACCCAATAGCACACAGGCCAAGAAGTCATCATTGGACCTCAGGAAAGATGATGCGCGTTGATTATTTCGCAAATGAGCCGAATCATAGGTGAGAACACATGAACACTGTACATTTCAAGGGAACAGACGCACGCATGCGTCAAATATTTGTATATATATATAGATGCCAATTTCGTGTGAATGACGCTCGCTTGGACCATAGGTATTAAGAATTCTCTTCAGTATTGATTTACGCTCCTTCCTTCAGGAAATAATTGTTTTCCTCTGTATTTCGAATTCAAATAATTAATATGATTTCCCTATTTCTCATAAATGGAAATCTGTTGTCTTAAACTTCTTTTTTCATTTATTTTTCTTTCCTCTTTTCCTAATTATTCCGTAAAAAATACTGCTCTACTGCATCTTTCTTATAATTTCTTATTTACATGTAAATAAAAGAAAAGAAAATTTAATTCCAACGTACATTAATAACTGTGTTATATTTACGTTTTATCTTTATG